TCAAAATGTTAATTGTGTTACTGGCTAACTAATCATAACAATTAGAACCACTTAATCGAGATTCGTGCCTCGATGCTCCCTACTAAGTGGTAGCTCATTGTTAAACTCACTGAATAAACAAACTAAATAAAGTGCATGGCTCATATAGGTAATTATGGGGTATAATTACCAAGAAACACATCAATCAAACTCGACGCGATGTTATCGTCGGTTAGATGTTTGCCAGACTCCCGGCCCTCACCCACCTCACGATTAATACAATCGATTAATACGTTATGAAAGCTGTTGCTATCATTGCTGTCATTGTGTGCTATCCTATGATGTATGTATCGATTGCGTGTATAATCTCTACACTCAGCCAGACATTCCGCTAATGTAGTCATAGGGTTAGCCATAAAATAGCGACTAAATGGTAGCAATTCGTACAAAACGTATGGCAAACCGACACCCTTTATAAAGTCCGAAATGGCACATGAGCGAAACTTTTGGAAATATTTATGCCCCACAGTGAACCTGGTCAATTTGGCCATAGAAAATTATATTCCTTTATGGATAAAGTATCCGAGAAGCCAATGCCAATTGCGTATCAGAAAAAATGCTTTAATCTTAATCTTTCATAAAATTAATGTTGAAAGATTAAGATTAAAGCATTTTTTATCTGATGCACTATTGGCATTGGCTTCTCAGATATATTCATGTATTGTCAGCATTCATGTCACTAAACACCGATATCATGATTTAATGGGTGTAAATATGTATACGCACTTTTCATTTAAAATTAAATGTCCCATTATGCCCATGCTCATATTGTACCCAAATAGCGTTGGATTTATGGGCTGATTAGTGGCGATCACTTTGGCGGTCATTTCGGTGACTATGGTGTCCACCACTCCAGACAAGTCATCACTTTTTACGTATTTTCTAAGTGAAGTTTATTAATGATTACGTCATATATTGATAGACCAGACAAACCTAATAGCTTTGTGCATAACGTTTCGTAGGGCCCACCAACTGGTCATATTGTTATTTAAAGAGAAATCCTGGTGCTTTTCATTACAATATAAGCAGGCTAAAAATAATTTAAATCACAACTAGGTCAATAGCATCTTAATTAAATGTTTTAGAAATTATGTATAAGGGCTATAAATATTTATGGTATAATTATTGTGACAATTATATGAGGGTTACCAAGTTCAAGGTTAGTTCGCCCGGTTAATTTGATTTTGGCGAACGCCTCCCGGGCCACGTCCATGTCCCTATGAACACAATAGGCATGGGACCCAACCATATGGTGATCACCGGACCGTATATCTGGTACAATTTTGTCAGCTCCTTATTCCAGTGTTGTCTAAAATGTCTTAACACTATAATTGTTTTATGAATATAAATATTAATATGTATTAATATATAGTTAATTTTTGACAAATTGTTCATGCTTATTTTATGATGAATTATACTGACTCAAAACATTGCCAATTAATGGCAGTGGTGTTGACCCAGGGGGTATTTACGGAATTTCAAATAAAACAAACACATATAATATGCAAATAGTAAACTTGCTAGTAAAATAATTATGGAAATCATGGTCTATTTACTTTTATTGAAATACGCTTTTTTTTTAAAATTATTTTTAACTCTAATTACTATTAAAGTATAAAATATTGTACAAGTTACAGTATACATACAGTATATATAAATATTATTTAATACTAATTTAATGAGTAATTATTTATTCGGAGAATTATTTGTAATAATTATTAGAAGTGAGTCTTTTGTCGTAATATGTACAAGTTAGTTATAGAATATATTTCAGTACAAATGACACTTTTATTGAACTACGCTACGTTTATATGTACTTGGTAAAGTATATTTTATAACTAACTTTTACATATTACGACAAAATAGTCACTTCTAGTAATTATTACAAATAATTCCGGAAATAAATAATTAATCATTAAATTAGTATTACATAATGTGTTCACTATAAGCTAACTGTCCGTAGAGTGAAGTCTATGAAGAGTTGTTATACAGGGGCTGTGGTCAGTTACACCAAGTAGCTTTTATTTCTGGCAGTCCTGTCCACTATACTGACCTCGGTGTTTGCTAATTGTGTCGTCTATGAAATAGTAAAACAGCACCGACATTCCGCACCAATAATGCACTAAATTCCAGAATATAACCAAGGTAGATAAACCGTTTTATTGAAAATTGAGCACGATTAAACTCATTATATTATAAATTATTAAGTAATCAATGTTACCCAGAGAGCCAGGGAGAGAGAGAGAGAGAGAGAGAGAGAGAGAGAGA